GGATGCTGCTGCCTGTGCAGCTTCGAACTGACGATGATAACGATGACGACGGTGATGACAGACAGAGAAGTAAGACAAGAATCCCAAGGCTCACTTTATCCTGTCCTTCACAGACAGAACGCGCATGTATCTACAGCCATGAAATGCCATGAATGAGGAATTACGGTTAGGTATTTTTGACTCCACCTACATTTAAAATAAAGTGCATAAAATACTGGCATCTGGTGGAACCATCAGGGACAAACCAGAAGAGGGGTGGGATTCCGTTTTGTGACAGGTGACTAACTCCAGTCACGGGGCAGGTGACATCTCCAACTGCTAGTCCTTTTGTTGTTTTCTTTTTGGCTGTGCCACACGGCATGTGGGATCTTAGTTCCCTGACCAGGGATCGAACCGGGGCTCCCTGCAGTGGAAGCACAGAGTCCTAACCACTGGACTGCCAGGGAAGTCCCACCAACTGCTAGTCCTTATTCCACTGCTCAGTCCATGTGCACCTGTTACAGACCAGTGGAGGACGGAGGAAGGGATGGGGCCCGGCTGACTGTGGGGCTCTCATGGCTGCTCTTCAAACGCTCTGTTACCAGGGCACTATCTGAAGCTACAGCTTCTCCCCAGATCTCATTCTTGCCAAGGCTTTGATTACTAGACACGGACGACTCCAAGTATCTCCAGCCCAGCTGTCTCTCTTGAGATTGACTCATGTGTCTACATGCGTCCTGGACATCTCCACTTTGAGCTTCTTAAAAGCACTTCAAACGCACCATGGCCAGTTCTGGCTTCATATCTGCACCTTCCCTGTTCCTGCCATCAACCGTGTCCCTTCCAATTCCTCTTCTCAGAAAACAGCATCAAGTTGTCATGTGAGAAACGTAAGAGGCATGCCTCGACACCCCTCTCATCTAATCCAGCACCCGGCCCCTCCGATGCAACATCTGGTATTTAGCTTAACTGGTCCATTTCTCTCTCCTCCCACAGTAACCCCTCACCTCAGTCATCAGGGTCTCCACCTGCAGTAACTTTCCACTCATTTCTCTTCACACCCTCTTGGTCTTCAACCTCATGAATCCACTTTCCACACAGCAGCCCAAGGGATCTTTGAAGGACGCATATCTGATGTCACTCCTTCTTGTAGAAACTTTTAAATCTTTAACGTGGTCCAGGCCCAGCCACTGTCTCCTGCCTTGCTTACCTGGTAAGCCTCCTCCCCCCTCACTGTGTTCTGGCCATACCGGATTTTTGAAGTTCTGAAAAGGACCATGTTCAGGGCCTTTGCACACGCAGTGTGCTGTGGCCGAAAGGTTTGCCTCCCCACACACCATTCCCCTCTATCTTTCAGGTCCCACATTGATGGTCACATCCTGAGGGACACCTTCCTGGACCCACCAGACTATGTCAAGTCTCCCTCTGGCCCTTGTCCCTAACCAAGGGACCACACCTGCACCGCGCCGTTATCCGCAGCAGGAGGTACGTGCTGGCTGAATGCTCCAGACTGGATGCCAGTAATGGGATATGAGGCTTGAGAGAGAAAAACCTTACACCTCTCGGGAGAAAAGGATTGAAGTAGAGGTGGTACAAGGAGCTCCTTTTAGTTCACGAGCCTGTTTTCCAACTCATTTACCAATATGTGTTTGCTCAGTTAAAATTCAGTCATGTTTTCAGGTTTTAAACAGGCATAATGGCTCCAAAACTTATTTACTTTCCTTCTGCTGAACATACTCTATGGGCCAAGGGTTCTCTGTTACTATAGGAACTTCCATTACACAGGCTACCAACAAAAAAGGTACAACTTCTTCAGATCTCACATTCTAAAAAGTTCCGGCTTTCTACAATGACAGGCGAGTGCCCCCAATATCATGCATTCTTTTCAAACACTTAGGCCCATGGTGTCCTCTCTTTTAGGCATGGCATGGAAAAGGTGATAGGACAGGATAAAAGATCAACATTTTAGGCAAATTCATTCATCTGTGATTGGGTTGATGAATTACATATACAAATAGACTAATCCTAGAACTGCCTTAGAACTTCTGTCAAATTTTTTACCAAAAGGAAAATCCAAGAAAATTAAGCAGTGAATTCGTAAGGAATTTTGGTCACAGCACCCACTAAGAGATATACAGCCCCACAATCTTTAGTACTTCCTCGGGCCCAGTATTTAACTTATTGGGGATAAGGACAGAGGACAGGATTGTCTTTAAACTCTTCTAATTGAGAATTCAGGGTTAAAAAACTCATTTGCGTTTTAAAACAACAACAAAACCCTTGCATCCCTATAGGCAACAGTCACCCTCACCTATACGACTCCATCATCTTGTATAACCCTGCCTATAAGAACAAAAGAAACAAGAAATAAAGAGGAAGCTGAGCAGGTCCAACTGCCAAAAGCCTCAAGAAATATGGCTACTCATACATAATAAATACAAAAATTGGCCAATATTTATTTTTATCCGCTTATTACGTGTCAGGTAAAGATTTAAGTACTTACATGTCTTATCCCATTTAATCCTCCTGACAGCCTTTTGAGGTAGAGCTCATTAATATTTCCATTATATAGATGAGGAAACTGAGGCACAGCGTTGATGTGTGCAGGTTTACGGTAAGAGGCAGAGCCAGGATTCTAACTATCCTAACAAGAAAGACCCTCCAGTCACTCACACAGGCATCCTCTTTGCACTTCTGAGCTACAAGGTGAAACTAGAAAATGCTGAGATGAACTCTTCTAAATTTTTAAGCTCTCTTTGTGAAGTCCCTCCCTTTATCCTACCCCTCCATCTCTAAAGTATGTTTCTTTAAAAAAAGGAATAATAATATAAACCCAAACCATCCCCTAAATAAGAAAACCATGTATTTAGACATCAGCTAGTGGCATCCCAGACATATTCTAAAACAGAATGCTCTAATAAAACAGACTGCACTGCTCACCTGGCAACACTTCACATTTAAATGGCTTCCCATTTTTTAAACCAGTCAGCAGTGAAGTTGAGTCTCCTAGCCCAGAGCAGTGGCAGAAATCCCCCAAGTGTCTTCTGCACCAGGGTCCTCAGAGGCAAACAAGTCTGATCTGTGGCTCCCAGAAGTGTCCAAGTAGACGTCTGGGATTAGCACAGGCTCAGCCCCAGACACAGTGTGGAACAAAACGTGGGTGGCTAAAAGTCGGCTTACACATTGTGGGAGAAATCTCTCCTTCTGTTTCAGCCCCTTGTAAAGTGGGGCTGGAGAAAGTAAGCACTGCCTACGAAGAAAATGTGTAAAACTGAAGCTGAGCATGACTGCGAGAGTATACTTTTTTGTTTTTTTCTTTAAAGAGGTGATCAATGGGCATGTAAATCACTGCAGCCATTATGGAAAACACTATAGAGGTTCCTCCAAAAATTAAAAATAGAACTACAATATGACACAGCAATCCCACTTCTCTGTATATACCTGAAGGAAATTAAATCAGTACCTAGAAGAGAAATCCACACCCTCATATTTATTGCAGCATTATTGACAATAGCCAAGACATGGAAACAACCCAAGTGTCCACTGATGGACGAATAAAGAAAATGAGGTACACATACACACACACACAGACACACACAGGCACACTATGCAGCCGTGAGAAGGAAAGAAATAGTTCCATGTGCAGCAACATGGACGGACCTAAAGGGTATTTTGCTAAGTGAAATGGGTCAGACAGAGACAAACAACTACTGTATGATCTCACTTATCTGGCAGAATCTAAAAGGGGAAGGGAGGTAAAATGGATGAAAGGGGTCAAAAGGCACAAACTTCCAGTGATAATGTGAATAAGTCCTGGGGAATGTACTGTACAGCTTGGTCACTATAGTTAACAACACTGTATTGTATATTTGAAACTTGCTAAGGGAGTAAGCCTTAAAAGTTCTCACCATAAGAGAACAAATTTGTAACTACGTGAGGTGATGAATGTTAACTAAACTTACTGTGGTGATAATTTTGCAATATGTACACATACCAAATATTATATTGTACACCTTAAACTAATACCATTACATATGTCAATGATATCAGAATAAAAACTGGGGGGAAAAGAGACCCTCTAGTACCCCTAAAAAAAGGAGCTCAAGAAGCCTAGGGTTGCTTCACTACAGCGTTAGTATCACATTAATACTGGAGCATGCCTTTGTTTATACTGATCCAGTTACCCCTTCCCTCCATCCATCAGGATCCCACCCACCTTCAAGTCCCACCTCCTCCAAGACATTTATTCACATTCATTACTCAAGGATTATCTGCAAGACCTTGGTCAAGTCACTTAACCTCTCTGTGCCTTGGTCTCTACATCTGAGAAATTAAGAGAATAACAAAAACTACCTCAAAGGGCTGTTGTGAGGAACAGATGGGGAAATTAGACATGTAAAGTGCTTTGATAGTGCTTGGAACACGGTATGCACTCAACTGCTTGAAATTCCCACAAATATGAAAGCTATTATTTTCGAGATGAGCAAATAGACTTAAGGCTTGCTCAGGACCATGAAGCTGGTAAATGGCTGGGACTGAAGTCCAGTGTCTGACCACTAAGTGGACCCCTGCCCCACTTGTCCATAGCTTGCTGGGCACTGCACGCCTAAATTTCTGAGGCTTTCAGAGTCTGCGTCACGTGATTTGGCCCTTGTTCACATTGTCTTGAGCCAAGTGGCAGTTGTGTTACTTCTGACCCTCCACCTAGGCGAGCATGCCGAAGGCAAGATTTATCCAATGTTTTAAAATTTGTAAAAACTGTGGTGATGGTGGGGAGAGTAGAGTATCGGTGATAGGCTTGGGGTAGATAATAAATATTTGCTAACTAATTTAGGCAGAAAGTAAACAGAACATAGCTTAATGTCTATAACATGAGCTAATGGGGTTAATATGGTGAAGAATAAATGTTTGCTCCACATGCCAGAAATCCCTTCAGGCTTGGGGGTAATGCACTTAGTTTGTTAAATGAATGAAAGGCTGGGAAGAGCCCACGTGAGCTCTAGTGGGGAGAGGAAAGGCACCTGGATGTCCCGTGACCGCTCGTGGGCCTGGTAGGCCACCTTCTCCTCGATGCTGGCCAGCTCCTGCTTCAGGTTGGACGTCTCGTGCTGATGCAGGTCCGTGAGGTCATGCAGCTGGTCTTCCAGTCGCTCGTACCTTTCCAAAGAGAGGAGGTGATTCTGAACGTGACATTTCAAAGGTGTTCTGACAGCACTTAGAAAACGGCATCCTTTGTGTCTCACTGTCACCAGTGCCCCTTGGCTTGCTCTCATCCCCAGGCAGACTGTGCTTCCAAAAAAGTAAGTCAAGCTGTGGGGAACATGCTTTTGGAAAACACTGAACTCTAGCTCCAGAAAGGACTGGTCTCTGCAGTCTTAACTCTGTCCGCACCGCTGAGGGTTCATGCAAACCAAACCTGGCTTTTCCACCCACATCAGACCAACACCTGGCTGTGGGGACAACAGGACAGGCCTTATCACTGGCACATTCACCAGGGCTGGTCAGGAGACAGGGCTGTCAATCCTCCTGCTAAAGGCGAGGACCCACTGGCATCCTGGTGCTCTTCCCTCTTCTGACCCCACAGTGCCTAATGGTTCACGGCCACAGCTCTCATGCGCCAGAGAGGCTGTAAGGAAATGACCAATTTCTACACTGGAGCCAATTCCACTTATTTCCCAGTGCACACAGTGATTCTGAATACATGTGTCAGCGCTTAGGACTTAAGTGTCAATTAAAAAATCATGCTTCTTGCAAATTAAAGATGGCTTATCAGGTGGCACTTCCGAAAGTCCAAATCTAAAGTAACAGAACCACAAAGATTCCCATTCCCACCCCCAATCCCCTCAGAGAAGGGGAATTTTGTATTGTATTTGAAACCCTGTAATATTTATTTGGAAACAGGAAGCACTATTTGGGGAAGGTGCATTAGCCTGGATGACTTCGATCAACGCCAGTTTTAGACGCTTAGTCACCTCATAGAATCATTTTAAAAAACACTTTGATATAGATTTAATGATTTTTCTCAGGTAGGATTTCACAGGTGCCCAATGTTGGTGTTTTGTAAGCAAGCCTTTAAAAAATCTCTTGACAGATGAATGGATAAAGAAGACAGGGTACATATATACAAAGGAATATTACTCAGCCATAAAAAAAGTATGAAATAATGACATTTGCAGCAACATGGATGGACCTAGAGATTATCATGCTAAGTGAAGTAATAAGTCAGACTGAGAAAGACAAACATCATATGCTATCACTTATATGTGGACTCTAAAAAAAAATGATACAAATGAACTTACTTATAAAACAGAAACAGACTCACAGACTTAGAAAACAAACTGATGATTTCCAAAGGGGAAAGGTGGCAGGGAGGGATGAATTAGGAGTTTGGGATTAATGTCTACACACTACTATACATAAAATAGATAATCAACAAGGACCTACTATATGGCACAGGGAACTCTACTCAATACTCTTAATAACCTATATGGGAAAAGAAGCTGAAAAAGAATAGATATATGTATAACTGAATCACTTTGCTGTATACCTGAAACTAACACAACATTATTAGTCATCTATACTCCAATGTAAAATAAAAACTAAAAAAAAAAAAAAAAATCTCTTAAAGGAAGTAATACAGTGAGTGACCAAATCATGGAGATCACAAACATGTTATATAACAAATGAGAGCCAAAGCTGTCCTAACGGATGCTTGTGACTTGAAATAAAGGGATCCAAAGGGTGCTGTATCCCAAACTATCTGAATGGAATTAAAGTCAATATTATCTGGAAAAACTGTGACGCAGAAACACTTCTTATGTGACAAAGAATCCAAAGTCAAAGATGTAGGTGGAAAGTTTTTAAAAAATCATTTCATAAAATATGACAGCCGAAAAAAGCCACATCTCTAAATTAACACATATATAAAATCATATATCACATAAAAAACGTGTAAAGTAAATTTAAATTTTAACTCTTACCATATGTAATAGGCATTCACTTTTTTTTTTTTGCAGTATGCGGGCCTCTCACTGTTGTGGCCTCTCCCGTTGCGGAGCACAGGCTCCAGACACGCAGGCTCAGCGGCCATGGCTCACGGGCCCAGCCACTCCGTGGCATGTGGGATCTTCCCAGACTGGGGCACGAACCCGTGTCCCCTGCATCGGCAGGCGGACTCTCAACCACTGCGCCACCAGGGAAGCCCTAGGCATTCACTTTTTAATCTACATTTTTAGAAGTTAACATTTATTTGACAAAAAAACTTGGGGGTGCATATTTTTATTGGGAAAATGGTGGAAAATCACCTCATACTTGGGCATACACACTAGTTAAGCTAGAGGCACCTAAAAGCCAGCCTACACAACACCGGACTTTAAAAATTAGCTAATATAATCCACAAGATTTGAATTTATTATTGATTATACTTATAATCTTAAGATTCCTTTTGAAAGCTCTTCATTTAGGGCGAAAGTTTACTGAGCAAAATACAATATCATAAAAAAATACACTATATAAAGACTTCAAGATTTATGTACCAAATAAAAGCTACCTAGCTGGACAATGAATTCGTTTTTTACTTGACAGTTATTATGGAGGGAAATCAAATACAGATCTACGAATTGGTGTACCGAGACCTCATAACAGCAGCCTACTGCGTCAGGAGCTCAATATGCACGAGTCATCGACTATATAGTGATATTTTAACAGACCCACATGTATAAGGTCTTTCTCTAAGCTGTCAGGCTTCAAGTCACAAATTACAAAACTAAGAATCACAAGGTATGGCAAGAACTACCGATTCCTAAATGCCTTTTGACCTATATCCATATTTACAGAAAATACAACCACTAGCATATCACCTTCGAGCAATCTCTCCGCAGGTAGTAACTCGTACTCCTGAAAGAATGTGAAGAGAAGAGCATGAAATACCTGTATGTCTCCTCTTGCAGGGTCTGAGAGATGAAGCCATACTCCCTCTTGAACTGCGCCTTCAGTGCCTCGATGTCCTCGGCCAGCTGCGCCTGGGTGTCCTTGATCTCCCTGAGCTCCTCCAGGATGGCCGTGAGCTTGCCCTGGCTGTCCAGTGCGCCAGTGCCCCCGGCCCCAAACGACTGGTTCCCGTTGCTATCGGCGGAGCCTGACGTGCCACTCGAGCACTCGTCGTCGCTGCCGTACTTGGGCTTGTTCACGATGGTGGCGCTGCCCCCGTAGGCCCTGGCGCTGGTCTCGGGCCGGAACTCCTCCAAGGAGTTTCTTAGGTGAGCGATATTGTCGGCACTGCCAAACTTATTCCGGATCAAGTTGGCGAACTCTCTGGGCTTGCTGAAGACGAACACGGGTGGGGTGAGGGACACCCCCGGCAGGCCCGATTTACTGCTCTCCAGGCTGTGGGGAGCGGTGCGAGCCTTGGCCTGGGCATCCTTCAGAGGGGACTGGATGTCCTTCAGGTTGTCCTTGGCAATGTCCTTTGAGCTCCTGGGGGCCCCATTCTGCTCGAGCTCCCGGAGCTTTCTGTGATACTGCTCTAACTTCTTCTGCAGCTGGGCAATGGATTGAGCCGACTTCTGATTCTTCTTCTCAAAGACCTGCTTGATGCGGCCAGCCTGCTGCTTGTCTGCGCTGCTGACTAGTTCCAGATACTCTGCGACATTCCCATCGCGGGACGTTTGCTCGATTCTTATCTGCTCTGTGACCTTTAGAATTTTCTGCTTCAGGCTGTCCGCGCTGAGTTTGACCTTGTGGAAGTCCAGGATGCCATCTGGTACATCAAAGTTGAGGTTGGTGTCCGACCCGCCTCGGCGGATGTTCAGGGGAAGGCTTAGGGTATTCATATCATGACGTTCTACCTGGAGGAGACAGGGAAGAAGCACTTTCAGACTAGAAGTCGAAGAGACAGTCGCTGTGATGGAATCTGTGCACACACAACAGACATACTTTACGCCCCAGATTTTCAAACTGCAAGTATTCGAAAGATAAAAACTCCCTACTATCCTCTCAAGTTGAATGCAGAACAACCCAACTCCTCCTGCACCCATATATACGAACGATGAGATTCACCTCTGCCAGGGTATCTGACTTTCTGCCTGATTAGATAGTAACTCTTGGTTGCCAGGATAGAAAATACATAATGAGATGAGGTTATCAAGTCTGTTCTGGTTTCCCAAAGTGCCCAGGTAACTGGGATGCCTGCCATGCCCCATTCACAGTGAACTTCACCATTATGGGAAATGAACCCAATTCGGTACTCAATCATTTAAAAGGAAAATGGAAAAAAAAAAAAAAGGAAGGGAGGGAGGGAGGGAGGGAAGGAAGGAAGGAAGGAAGGAAGCAAAGTCCCAGTAGGTACATTCGTCAACACAAGAAATTATTTTCTTAATGGAATGATTAAACAGATATGATGGAATAATATGGAGCAAGATTAATTTTAATAATTGAGTAATAAAACAACAGTATTCAGATATGGAAACAAATAACCCAAAACTCAACCAAAGTGATTAAAAACAACAATGGGGAGGGGGAAGGGGAAGCTGGGACGAAGTGAGAGAGTAGCACTGACATATATACACTACCAAATGTAAAACCGATAGCTAGTGGGAAGCAGCCGCATAGCACAGGGAAATCAGCTCGGTGCTTTGTGACCACGTAGAGGGGTGGGATAGGGAAGGTGGGAGGGAGATGAAAGAGGGAGGGGATATGGGGATATATGTATACGTATAGCTGATTCACTCTGTTGTACAGCAGAAACTAACACACCATGTAAAGCAACTATACTCCAATAAAGATGTTAAAAACAACAACAACAGTGACAATATTAAGACCATGTGAAATAGCTTTCTCACTCAAGGGCCACCTGGAAAAAAGGAATTGCAAAGCATCATTGAGCACCCTGGCAAAGGGGGTGGCTAGATTGTGCTCTAAAAGGGAAAGGCATGCACCCCAATGTTTACTGCAGCACTATTTACAATAGCCAGGGCATGGAAGCAACCTAAATGCCCATTGACAGACAAATGGATAAAGAAGTTTTGGTACATATATACAATGGAATATTACTCAGCCATAAAAAGGAACAAAATTGGGTCATTTGTTGAGGTGTGGATGGATCTAGAGACTGTCATACAGAGTGAAGTAAGTCAGAAAGAGAAAAACAAATACCGTATATTAACGCATGTATGTGGAACCTAGAAAAATGGTACAGATGAACTGGTTTGCAGGGCAGAAATTGAGACACAGATGCAGAGGACAAACGTATGGACACCAAGCGGGGAAAGCGGCGGGGGGTGGGGGTGGTGGTGTGATGAATTGGGCGACTGGGATTGATATGTATACACTGATGTGTATAAAATTAATGACTAATAAGAACCTGCTGTATAAAAAAATAAATAAAATTAAATTAAAAAATTAAAAAAAAACCATACTAGGAAACTTGGAAGGATTTCCATGAGGTACTGTTGAGTGAGGTATTGTTGCTGACAATAATGAATGAATGAATGAATGAATGGGAAAGGCAAATGTGGTCTGCGCGCCAGGCACTGAATGTCCACAGGGTTTGCCTTGCCTGAGCCTCACCACCATGGCAGGCAAAGAATGTGTTACATCCATATAACATGTAGAAACAGAGACTTAAAGAGCTAGGATTTGAATCCAAGTCACCCTAACGCTGGTCCTTTTTCCACCTCAGGACACTCTACTACTCTTGTCCCCAGAGGACTAAAAACAGGTCTTTATAGAGTCTGAACACAATCTCTAAACAAAAATACTTAAGATCTAAACTGAAGCATCTTATTTTTCAAGTTAACAACCCTTTGATTAGCAAAGTGCCTTGATATAGAGTCTTGACAGAAAAAATGGGAGACAGGACAATATTCAGCTCAAGTTAGCTTTTTTTTTTTTTTTTTTTTTGCGGTACGCGGACCTCTCACTGTTGTGGCCTCTCCCATTGCGGAGCACAGGCTCCGGACGCACAGGCTTAGCGGCCATGGCTCCCGGGCCCAGCTGCTCTGCGACATGTGGGATCTTCCCGGACCGGGGCACGAACCCGTGTCCCCTGCTTTGGCAGGTGGACTCTCAACCACTGCGCCACCAGGGAAGCCCTCTAGTTAGCTTTTTTTAAGGAGAGAAGAGGCTGACATAGTAAAAAATCGCTAAGATAATAACAGACCTCATACTGCCAAAGTGACTCAGGCTCAAATGTGGACCATTTCCAACAGTGAGCATTAACATTCTGCCACATGAAAAAGGCTACCCAGGGCTTTTTCCGAAAGGGGGGAGCCCAACGGTACAGTGGGACACAATCCCAGGTCGGTGGGTCAGGCCTCTTTCACAACTTACAAAAGTTTGTTAGCGTTATTTCTCGACCCCTCTCTTCCCACACACAGCTTTGTCATGAGAGACCCTGGTTGCTTTATCTGGCAGAAGAGCATCACATAGGAAAGGCTGGAAGGAAATAAATGCCACATCAGTGTAAGACTAGAAAAAGGGATAAAGGAATTGTGACTTCACCTGGTCAGGGGGAGGACGGGTGCAGAGACTAAAGAAGGCACATAATCATCACCTTCAGGTCCTGGAGAGATGACCGCAGGAAGTTCATGGAAGCCAAGCAGCTATGGCTCACCAGGGGACCCAAACAGGAATGGGCTCAAATTACAGTAACAAAGGATGCACTAAGCCCAGGAAATGTTTGTTTTGGGCAGACAGGGTAATTAACGGTAACGGTACAACCACAAGGCTGGAAATTCTATTTCACTGAAGATATCCAATCTGATTGTGCTACTCTACTTCACAGAAAATCTCTTTGGCTCCCTAGTGCCTCCCAAATTATGTAATACAACTTGGTCACTGTTCAGTCCACAGCTTACCTTTCAGGCCTCACCTTGCACCTGATGGATGCCAGTCATCTTAAGGGAGCCACGCAACCTAAAGTTCACATGCATGATATTCACAATGCCGGCCATCCATCCACTTGTTTATCAAACTCCAACATACTATCTATCTATCTATTTATTTATGGCTGCATCGGATCTTAGTTGCGGCACGTGGGCTTCTCCCTAGTTGTGGCATGCGGGCTTAGCTGCCCCAAGACATGTAGGATCTTAGCTCCCCGACCAGGCATCGAACCCACGTCCCCTGCATTGGAAGGTCCCAAAATCCAACATACTCTTCACAATCCATTTCAAGTGCTACTTTTTCCATGAATCTTTTCCTAGTCCCGCCAGAAAGCTGCCTGTCCTTTCTGTGATTCCCCCATGGTGCTCTTGTGGCACTTTATCCCTCCTTTTATCGCTCATCTGCTCCTTCAGGGGAGAGGTGGTACCACACCTGCACCCAGCTAGTAGAGCTAGCACTGCCCCTTATTCACAGGAAGCTGTCAATTAAATGTTTGCTGAACTAAAGCGACATCATTCTTTATTTCCAGGAGAATCTACACTGAAATCATTTAAGATACATTTGAGGAGAATAAAAAAATGACCATAGCAGTTCAGTCCACATAGACACGACCATTCCAGGTAAAGAAGTTTTCTTAATACCTAGGTAGTAAGTTAGTTCTACATCATTTCAACCCGATTCAACTAAACAATTTTTTTTAGTATCAATGAGCAACTTGATACACAAATAAAGACTTAAACTTTAGTTGAAGTTTCATTTACATGCAGAAAAGAGCACATCTAAAAAGAATAAAACTCAAATCTTCACAAACTGTGAAACTAGTGTAACCAGGACCCAGTTTAAAAAAAAAAGAACAGAAGCTCCCCTTGTGCTCCCTTCAGTCATAACAACATCACCCCCATCTCCAGAGGTAACCACGAACCTGACTTCTAACAGAATACACTAGTTTTTTTTTGGTTTTGTTTTTGTTTTTTTTGCGGTACGCGGGCCTCTCACCCTTGTGGCCTCTCCCGTTGTGGAGCACAGGCTCCGGACGCGCAGGCTCAGCGGCCATGGCTCACGGGCCCAGCCACTCCGCGGCATGTGGGATCTTCCACGACCGGGGCACGAACCCGTGTCCCCTGCATTGGCAAGCGGACTCTCAACCACTGTGCCGCCAGGGAAGCCCAGAATACACTAGTTTTGATTAATGTATCATGTGTTCCTCTTGTCTTTCTTTTGCTCCACATTGTAAGAGTCATAAGAAGGAGGGCTCCTGCCCTCCTGGAGCTCTGATAAGATCAGATCAGGTTGTTTTAAAAAAACCCACCTGCTTGATAGCCCCTATTAGGAAGTCCACCAAACCTCTGAAGATACAGAGGCTTTTAAATCTTACCTTACCAAACACAGCAAGAAGGCATCACCGCATCACCTGTTCCTCTTCCTTTAATTCTCAACCCCATGGCAGCTGGCCACCCAGCCCCAACATCTCAGGGCAAGGGCCCAGTTCTCTCACAGACGCTGGGCCAGGCCAGCCGTGTATGCAGGAATGTTTACTCACGGATGGCTGGCTGACTTCTGGCTTACTTTCAAGCTACAACAATGCCTGGCATGTCCCTGAGAGTCCAGGTGGAGGAAAGCAAGAGCGTTTAAAGCTCAATCAATCAATCTTACTGCTGGTTGGCAAATCTCAGAAATGTCTGATGAGGGTGGAAAGCTGGAACTATTGCTGGGCTGCACGCTTCAGCCTTTTGCAGCCCTAGCTCTGCAGGATAATTAAGATCCAGCTAACACGTATCACTAGCTGCCCATCCATTTCCCTGAACTCAAACTGGGATTTCAGGTATATGCTGGAAGAAAGCTGTGGGAGTCCTCCGTCCTCCATTTCATCTGGACTCGGCACGGAGGTCACCAGTACAACGCAGCTGCTTCAGGGCTGGGGCCCAGGGAGGAAGACAAAGGTCCACAGATGGCCCAGAGTCAA